AGGCAACCTCCAACGGCGATCCCCCACCTTCCCCACGCGTTCTTCTGGTTAAGTGAGTCAGTGGTGTCAAATACACCCTGTAACCTTTTCTTCTTGCAGGACCTGTATTCCATCAATAGACGAAATCAATGATTGCTGGAGTGGAATTATGGTACCATTCGACATTCAAAATGAGCGCCCGTTTTTAGTTGCAGTGAAGGCGATTTCTGAAGCCACTGGTTCGAATTGTTTTTCCATCATCATGATTCTTGAAGTGATCTTTAGGCCTTCCGTATTCCTCCTTCATTTGCTCCGATCTTCTGATGTCTGGACGACGGGAGAGTTTGACATGACAATAACGGGAACTTCCAACCAAACTGACCCTACTGATGTTCGCGCTAAAATTCTCAGACGACCCGTTATCGACATCTTTCATTCTCCTTTTGAGCCCGAGCAAGTCAGTGTGATTGAGCATCAATAGAAAGAAGAGTTACAGAGATTTTGTTTCACTCCCTCAGCTACCGGTGGAGCCAGAATTGCTCTATTATCCATTTCTCTTCCAAGTGAGTTGAGAGCCATCGTCATATGAAGAGTGAGAACCTGCTCAGGCTGTTAGTCTGGAAGGCCTCTCAATCAATACGGCCCACCTTTGGGTTGATCCTTTGGAGGTTGAGGGTAAATTCGGATCATTGTTTTCAACATCGATGCTGAACTCTCAGTGCAGAAGCAAAGTCTTCGCGATGAAACTTTGGTCCCCGACCTTTCGCTGGTTTTGTCGACGGTTTACGTTCCTCCATTATTTAATTCATTGTTCGCGTCGATCAAAGAAAATCGTGATTTGGGACGTCTGCGTTGCACAAGTCTCTCGCAGAATTGCTTCAGAAGTTGATTTTAGGTAGAAAGGGTTTCTTGAAGTGGAACTATCAGTGCTTGTGCAGATGCATGGAGAGTTAACTGCTGGATGGTCAAAGAGCCCAATTCGGCGCGGCCTGAGGAGTGCGACGAATTGAACCTCGGCGCTCCGTATTTATCTCAACTGAAGCCACGCACTGTACTCATCCATTTGAGGGCCGTTATCACTCATTTGTCGAGGGTACGAAATCAGAATTTTTGCTCATTTCGGCGGATGATTTTGCAGATTCGTCCAACGATGTCGGTGATCAATGGAATGGTTCGCTATATATTTCATTTTATTCAACAAGGTTCTAAATATTTGGATCAAGTTGCCGTTGAGAAGGAGCTTAAACGATTTGCTGCAGCACAGCAACACCAAATTCAACAATTACAAAGTCAGACTTCGCTTTTAAAACGTGTTTCGTTCTGGGGAAAGAGAGAGTCGACCCCCCCAACATCCCCGATTTCTCCCTCTGCTTCTCCGGAAGAGGATGAGGACAAAATAGATTGGAACAAATTTGCAAGTTTTGAGGGAAGCAAACCTCCGCCTCAAACCCTTTATGACAAAAGGTTCGATTTATTTGGTGATTCAATGTACTTGTTTGTCTCAGTATGGGAAGAGCTCTTTTCGCGGTGTTTCGCTATCAGTAAGTGTCAAAAATTGATTTCATAATTCGTCGAGTTGCAGGCTTTTCATGGATAAGATGGTTGATACTTGTATCTCCCATACTGATCGGGTTTTAACGAATGCTAAACGAGTTCTAATTCTCGGAGGAAGCTCTCTCATCGAACAAGTCGCTCATCGATTTGAAAAGGTGAATACAAGGAGTGGACGCATCTCCTAAAATCAAAATCGTTTTTAGATCATCGTTTGTGAAGGTCGTCCTCTGTTTGAAGGAGTGAAGCTTGCTGAGGCGTCTGTCAGCTGAATCCCCCGAACTGAAGTCCACATTATATCAGAAGCTCAAGTACGATTGGCCAGTTTTCTTGCAGCCATTCGATTTCCTGCAGATCGGAATATTCATCAACCATGTCGATTGCTGTCTTGTGGGCGCAGAAACTATTCTCCCTAATGGAAGTTTCATCAATCGCGTAAGTTGTAGAGATCTGTTTTCCTTGCTGGAGAGCGTTGTTTTGTGATGAACACGTCTTCATTGTGACTGATAGGTTGGAACATATTTGCTAGCACTCGCAGCAGCTAACACAAGAATCAGCTGTAACTCCATTCGAAGCGTTCCATTCTTCGTTGTTGCCACAACCGCTAAAATCATGACAAAGGAAACTCTAGATCGCCTATCAGCAGCTCAAACGAACGACTCATTGATTCTTGTTCCAGCGCAACACCCAAACGCATTGCGCTTGAGAAAGGGAGATTTTGCGTGGAACTCGTTGCAAGAATCTTCAATTCAAAATGAAATGGGGAACAGTCTATTCGAGAGTGAAGAGGAGGACGAAGAAATGGGGCAGGATGGTATCGCAGTATTTGATCCCAGGAAGGAGGAAAAATATATGGATCAAAGGTGCGAGTTGGGAAAAGTCCGATGTCACCTTATTGATCCGAAAGCACCCTTTGGAACAATTCTAGAAGGGAAAGACAGCAGCGAACTGAAACAAGCATGGGATGCATACAATGTGGAATACTCGAACCGTCTACTGATTGACAACATCTATTCTGAGGTAGGAGAACTGCATTCAGGCTGGTTCAGTTGATTTTTGCTTCAGACTGTTCCAGCCCACTTGGTCTCGGGTTCATTACCGAACGAGGTCAGCCACTAGAGAACACTGGTAATAGCCACACGCTTTCTTTAGGTCTATTGCAGCCGCATGAAGTGGCGGATCGTGCAGAAGAATTCATTTCATCCATTGAATACTTTATAAAAAAGGAAATTCCAACATTTGAATTTTAGAATGTGTTTTTTTGTTAACTACCTGGTTCAGACATGCAAGCAGTCGAGCAAGATTCCAAGTGCCCCGAAAAGCAAAAAATGCCACCCACAGTCTGTAAAGCACTTCCATACTCCTCTATTCATTTCCCTGTTTGTGAGTCAACCCACAGATGGGCGTTGGATAACTTGAGGGTCCTGGTATCAAATCACGGGCTGTCTTCAACTCGTCCAGTCAGAGTTTCGACTGATTCTCAAACTCGAGGTGTAGGGCAGCCAATTAAGAATCAAACCCTCGCAGGAGAATTTAAAACATGGGCCAACTCATCTGGAAACGTTTTTGTTACTTTTGTATTTCCTTGGCTTCAAAGAAAGATGGATTCCGTGGTGAATTTACCTCAAGTTGCTTCAGTTGCTATTGTTCAAACCCTCCAGAAAATCGGTGTCGATTCGAAAGTCAAATGGGTAGGTTTACAACGTCATAAAATAAAGCACAAGTCCGTCTATTCAGGTCAATGATGTTATGGTGAATGGCAAAAAAATTGCAGGAGTCCTCTGTAACGCGACTGGTTACCGATTGCCCTCCACTGACTCTAATGAAGAGTTCACTGCAGTTTTGGTGTCAGTAGGTTTGAACGTGAAATCAACTCCAACGTTAGAAGCTTCGGAGTTCCAGCCAATCACGAGTATCGCTGATGAACTCCAACAATCTGACGTCGAAGCCTCGGCAGTCCTCGATCTTCTTTCAATTGAATTGTATCGAACGATGGGAATTTTTGAAAGCAGAGGATTCGATTCAATTCATTCTGCACTTGAACAAATCTTGATTGGTCAGGGAACGCTTGTCAGTATTCAGCAACCAGCGATCAGTCCAACATCGTCGTCTTGCGATAAACTTCCTAATGACGAAATATTTGGCAAGTTTATTGGACTTTGTCCCAAATCTGGTTCGCTTCTATTGAAAACTGTCAACAGTGACACTCCAGTTGAAGTAATCGGTGGGCGGTTAGTTTTGTAATAAAGTTGTTTTTTGATGGTTTGCCAAGATCAAAGAATTGAAAGTCTATTCCGGCTGTCAATCAATTGGTCTTCGTTTTTTTTTCTGCTGGATCGTGCTCATCAAATCAGTAGGAAGGACTGGGCGATATGAGATCCAAGAGGTTCTCCAGAGAGAAGAGCTTTTATCAAACTATCAACCACTGATTGATCGATGTCTGCAGTTTCAGGATTCGAAGAGGAACGATTAGAAGGGTCATCAGGAAACAAAATCTAGCGAGATCGTCAGCAATAGCAAGAATACTTTCAGCAGATAAACTGGTTTCATTTGATGAGTTTAACGAGTCAGACAGAGAAGCGGAAGAAGGGTCCAATTTTGGCGGACCACATGAATCTTGGCTTTCGAGTTTTACCCATACGAGAGCTCAGATCAGACAAATAGTTGGATAAAGCTTCCTGCTCTGGACGAGAAAAAAACTCTGATAAGACTTTAGTTTGGAAATCCGATTCTGTATGAGAAATTCCATGACGTTGAGTGTGGGGGTCGGTCGAAGTGGTAAACCCTCTTTCGTCCTGATGAAAGAGGCGGGGTCGTCCTAGAGAGATCTGAAATATGACTGGCAAAGAGACGTTGCGCTGAATTGGGGGGGCTGGGATGAGGAACCGGGATGAGGGAAGGGAGTATCACGATGACTTTGCGTTAAGGATGGAGGACGATTGACGTTGTGACTGACTGGCTGTGCCTGATCGTGAGTGGCAGAACTTTGCAAACCACTGAACGAACTGCTTAGCGAACCGTTATTATTGTTTGCGCTAGTAGCCGTTCTGTTGTCTGTGGAGATGGCGGAGAAAGTATTGGGATTTGCTGCTGGAATCGGAGGAGAACGTGAGAGCTCAAGTTTTGACAGAGTTTCAAGTAACAGGGATAATTTTTCCTGATCTGATAAGTGATCAGGAAACGAGAGCATCTGAGGATCGTTAGACTTTGATACTGTAAACGATGGAGAGACTCGCGGATCAGAGCGCTGACGCCGATCCATTTCAAGCTTGAGAGCTGCGTCACCAAGATAGGGTCTGTAAAGGGACCGAGAAGAAAGAAGAGAAGGGAAGGCGAAGGATGAGGGTGCCACTGGAAACTGGCAATCCAATAATAGGGGCAGATTTAGAAACTGTAAAATTGGGAGAGGATGGCTTCGGCAACTGAGATGGGTGGGTAGTGACGACTGCAATCGGTTGAACTTTTGGGGGATCTGAAGCTGATTCAGAAGGCAAAACACGAGATGGATTGATCGTCTTTCCAATGAGAGATTTCGTCATCGGTAGGAAACGCGCTTCCCTCTTGCTTTCTATTTGGGGTGGGGGAACTTCGACGGTGCCCTTGTTGGGTGGCTCTGAGACAGGTAGCACGAAATTGTTTGGAACTTGAGGAGGAGGCCCCGTGTTGCTTTTGGGTTGAGGCTCCGTGTTGCTTTTGGGTTGAGGCTCCCTGTTGCTTTTGGGTTGAGACTCCCTGTTGCTTTTGGGTTGAGGCTCCCTGTTGCTTTTGGGTTGAGGCTCCCTGTTGCTTTTGGGTTGAGACTCCCTGTTGCTTTTGGGCTGAGGCTCCGTGTTGCTCTTGAGTTGAGGCTCCGTGTTGCTTTTGGGTTGAGGTTCCGTGTTGTTTTTGGGTTGAGGTTCCGTGTTGTTTTTGGTTTTCTGGTCATTGTTTCGCTCGGACGATGTTGGGCTTGTCTTCTGCATCCTTTCATGAACTGGAGGTTCTCCCTCGAGCTGGCTTTCGAGCGTCAAGAATGGATGATTGGAATCAAAGAACACCGAATGGCCAACAAGTTGGGCACTGCAACAAATCGTTTGCTTCTCGATCGTTTTCAAGCATCGCTTCACCTCTTCTACTTTGAGGGGCTCCGCGACAGGAACTCCCATCACATGGTTCCTCAATTGAAGAAGGAGTCCGTTTTCTAGAACCAGAAATTTCATCAATGCTTTGACCTCTGCGAGAGTGTTGATGCTTGCGAGCGTCTTCACGAGCCCGATTGCTTTTTCTGATGCCTTCAGACAGTCAGGATTGTCCGCGCATAGCAGCCCTGATTCACTTAAAATCATGCTCTGTAATGGAATTCTCCAGGGATGCAATTTGCAGTTTGTTCGACATCTCTCCTCGGTGAGCCAATTAGAAGTTGGGATCTCTCTTCAAAGCGAGCTGGCGAGTTGATGTTGGACTCTGTCCCCAATTGAGGGACCGTGGCTGGCGAACGGTTTGGCAGTCCCGTCATCTTGATGCCGGTGATTAGCCCAAGAATGTTCTGAAATACAAGAGCAGCTCACATTGCTCTGGCTACGGGCTTCAATTTTTCGGGTCTTGTCTTCAGTTCGGACATCTGATTGAAGAGGAGGTAGGAATACTCCGTTGAGAGCTCCGTCTGAAAATGTCAACGTCTACAATTGCTTGTCCGTGAGACAGATAGTAGGCAAGACACCCAAACGATTTTGTGAAGAGCAGTTCTGATGGGCACACTACAGAAGTTGAAACCCAGAACTGTTTTGGCCGAAAATACTTCCACGCTTGTAACGTTGGAATAAACCAAGTTGCTCTAAGAGACAGATTTTGGTCCGTGTTCCTATAGATGTGACCCTCTCCCTAAGTCCCTACCGGCGAATCAACGAGGTTTTGACACATTCGTCAGGTGCCGAATGAAAAGGATACATAACATTGTAGAACCCCTACAGAACATGAGGGTTTAACGATGAGGGAAAATGAATGACAACTGACGATTTCTCTTGATCCTCCGATTGCAACACCAAACCACTCAGCTGGGTCTGTTTGGCTCGCGTTAGAGACGAAGCAAAACTCTCCAGCCCTCAGAGGACCCTAAAGACAGAAGTCAAGATCGTTGCTACAGGGAACTTTGATTACATCAAAAACCTCATTCGGAAATGAGTTTGGCTGAAAAAGCTCCAGAGGGACGATGTCAGTTGTTCCATCATCGTATTGGACGAGAACTTTGATTGAAGCATCAGCCAAAGGAGCGGGAAGTGAAGGGCGGAGTAACTTGGACTCATTTGTAAAAGCGTACGGACACTCAATGGCCCGAAAAATAAATCTAGATTTTTCAACTTCGTCAGTGATAACACGATACTTCTCTTTTTCAGCAGAGCAAGCATTGTTGAGCACTGCAAACGCATCAACGACTTTCACCGGCCAGAGCATTCCAGAAAAATCACATCGAGATCGATCATCAGTCGGCGGCCACCTGAGCGATAAAATTGGTCGCGTTTGTTTTCAGTACTTCAACAGGTTTGATTGACTCACCAGACACAACCGCTTTCTGGCAGCCACGATGTCGTTCTGTTCAATTTCAGGACTTGCCCGTTTCTGTAAACTTGACTTCGACGAGCCCTTTTGGATGGAGGGACTTCCTTCTCCACATGTCGCAGGCGGCGTTTCGAAGCGCGTGTTGAACATGGCTCTCCAACCAATGCCATATAAGAGGTCCACTGTGAGCTGATTTGTTGTCTGTTTGCATGCACTCAACGCTAGTTGGGGAGAAAAGTAGAGTAGTTAAAAAGTTAGCGAAAAAAGAATTGGATACCAAACGGTCGTCGGACGTGGATTGTCTGTAGAAATCGATACATGAGGAAAATTCTGTCCGTGTTTGACTCACTTGGTGCTTAGGGCTTTTGGGGCTTCTCTTTTGCAATTTGTGCGTTTTTTTCACTTTACGGAAAAGAGCGTTTTCAATCTCAATTTGTTTGATGAGTTCAGATGCTTGGTCAATCGATGCCTAAACGACCAAATGAAGGATTTCTGGGGTGTGATATCCAAGTCTTACAAGTTGTGTAAGAATTGTCTCCGCCACAAATTGGGACTCGGCTTTGAACGAATCCAGAGATTGATTTAAATTTTGATTCATCATTTACAATTTGGTAAATTGAAGGTTGCGAATGAACATCACGATGATAAAATTCACAGAGGCTTGCGTCATTATGAGTTACGTTGTTTGTACGAAGCGTGTCTCCCAGTTGTCCCAAAATTTCGACCATTTCTGCAACATCTCGAAGTTGATGTTCAAGTTCGAGTGTTGTTGAATCGAGCACCTCTTGCATGTTACTGACCATTGAAGTCTCTGACCCCTGACACAAATTTGGGACATTACGACTGAATTTGGGACGACTGATCATGTTGCAACATCATATACAATACTTGGAGTGTTTCGACGAGATCTTTTAGTGATTGTTGCACACTTTGATTCGCAGAGGACATCAAGGTCATTTGCTCTTTTCGAATTTCGTGCACTGCAGGCTCCAATTTCACTGAATTTTCTAGCAGTTGGTCCAACATCGTCCCGAATGTCACCTCGCAGCCGTCTTTCTTTTACAATCTTCCAGCTTTGGTCGAGAATGTGAACTTCATGGCCGCGATGATGTCCTTCAACGGAGCAGCATCCGCAGAAACAATAGCCCTCACACTCGACACAGAAAAACTGAACTGGCTGTGTTGGATGTTGTGGGCATGCTTTAATGGAAGGTTCGATTATTGGAAATTCAGCTGGATGGTTTGGACCTGCAATTCCACACTCGCTTAGTTCTGCGACTGTTCTCGTCGTTGCACTTCCCCTCAAACGAACTAGATCTGGGAAACCACCTTGGGTCCACATCGGTAAAGCCTTGTCCTCCTTCATGGAGTCTTCCTTGCTTCGTTGCAAGCCATGAATCACTTCGACTTCTTTTCTCAATTGAGGCGATTTGGGAACGTCATCTGGAAGTGGGGCTGAATGGGATGGTTCGGTAATGAATAAACCCTCTTTGGCGCTCGGGAGTTCGACATCGTCTAAATGCGTCGCCTCGCTCTGTTGCGCGAATGAGCCGTTCTGTTTGGCTGAATATTCCCGTCGAATGACTGCTACTGAAAACACAGATTTGGGAGCTTGCTGGACGGGTGGTCGATACTCCTGTGCGATCATCTCGACATCCATCAAGTCTGTAGCATCGCTTGGGGCTTTCTCAATTTGGCGTGTCAATTCTTGATCAATTGGGCGACCTTTGTGAGAATGTTGTCCCATCGGCAAGATGGCACCCCATTCGTCAAGCAGAACCAGTTGATGAGACGCAGTGCTCTTCGTTTCGTGAACCTTTCTTGTGCAATCCCTGCAGAGATACGCAACACATTGGGAGCAATAAAAGAGACAATCGTCAAGGATTCGTCGCAAGTCCTTCGGCAACAAATCGCTCGACACGCTTTCTGATGGCATCCCCATTGATCTTGGAAAGTGTCTTATCGATGCTGTTGATTTTTTGCACTGATCGCAATAAAGAGGTGCGTGGACAAAGGGGTAGTGATTGAAGGAGCCTGGGCTTTGAATAAATGAAGTAGCAGAATGTTTGGGAACTGATTTTTGAGCATGGCGCCCTCGTGTGAATACAGGAACGCGAAAATCGTTTGGAAGTCGAATTTGAGAAACTTCGGATGATGAGTATTGAATCCAAAATGATGTCGCATTTGTTTCTACATTCGATCTGGGATGGCCCAGTTGTAATCCATTTGGGATGTGGTGGTTGACTCTTTGAAGACCCACATAGTCAGCGAAATCCAATGGAGATACACCAATAAGATCAAAATCAGGTGAAAGACTTTCATCATGGAAGAGAACAGAAGTTAGAATTTGTGAAATATGAGGCGGAAGAAGAGTTGATTTTTGGCAGCTAGGGCACCGAATTGGCACTGGGTTGGTTTCTGTTAAATGTCTCGATGCTATGTGATCTTCACCGCCTTGAATTCGACCAGAATGTCGTGAGCCTAAAAAGGAAGAAATGGAGAGAGAAGAGCCACACCTGAGCGACAATACTGATTCATTGGCTCACGTTCAAGATCAGCTTGATGTTTTTGACTTGCTCGATTCAGATCTTCATTAACGAAATATTCATCTTTCATGTTGTGGCTGTTGTACCACAATGGTGGCCAGCTATATTGGTGTTCCATTTGTAAGGAATCAATGCATGGGTGCTTCTCACCAGCAAGAGGACGATTTTTTGCAACTATAGATCTCTGGCCGATCAGTTCTTTATTTCCCAAGAGAGACTCATCCACTGTTACTGCATGTCTTCTAATCCCTAATGGGGGGGATACTGGTCTGTCCAGTATTGAGTAATGAAGTCGCAATAGATGAGGGTCATTAAGTGTTTCAGCTCGCAAATATTTTAGACGACGTTCATGGTACGACGTTGTATCTCTTGATAGCCGATAAGCCCCCAGTTCAGGGAAACGGATTCGTGATTCGATTGAAAAAGGTCTAAAGACTTCAAGCATCGAAGCTCCTGCACAAACAAGACACAAATGGTGTTCGCACACCAGTTTAATGGAGTGCGGTGTGGGGCGTCTACAGACATCACAGGAGAGTCCAGTGTAGGATGAATCCAGATGAGTCGATTGAAGACTCTCTCTTTGGGAATCAAGGCTAATCGGTTCGCCATGTTCCTCCCCTTCTTCTGATGGCCCATACCACTCAAAATAATCCCCCACTGAATGTTCTAATCTCGGAGGGACGTCGCCTCTCTCGGCCTCCAGCTGACGACGGTGCTCCTGCAAATCGGGAGAAAGTTCCTCGACATCATCTAGGCGACGAAAGAAGTCCACGCTGAAGTCTTCAAGATATTGCGGACGGTCAACGGCTGTTTGATCCATTCAAGAAATGGATTCAAATTGGACACAAAAACGTACAAGAGAGAGTCTTGCAACGAGTTTGTACTTCGATCTGTTGAAATGTGGAGATTGTTCAATCATCATCCTCACTATCGTGTAGGTTCGTCAGACGGTCTCCAGGAGAGCAGGAGTTTTTCACGTGAGGTCACCAAATCAAAACTAATTGAAATGGAGTTTATTATTTTTTCCATTTTGGGTTCTTTTTTTGTTGTTTGGGTGATTTGGAAATTGGCGCAATACTACCTCCAATTTGAAAGCAATTATCCCTCGTTCCAAGAAATTTCAAAGGTTCAAGAGCCCTCTGTTGAAGCCAACAAAGCGGGTGATGAGGCCGCTGAGACGATGACGCCGATAGAAGCGTCTGAAGCGGCCCCTTCTCAAGAAGACGTTAAGGAGGGTGTCGTGGGTCGCGTTTGTGATTCAACCGATTCTGATGACTCATTTCAAATCGTTAACAGACCAACAGAATTCGATTTGATGAATGAGACGAATCAGGATCATCAAACAAGGCTGATTGTCGATCAATCTAATCGATCTTCATTTTTGGCGAGATTTACAGAAACATTGCGAAGGAGATCATCAGCTGAATCTTCAAGACCAAAAGACAAAATCCAATCAGATCCAAGTGAAGGTCAGTCAGAATCACATGAGCCATCTGGAGATGGTGAACCCAAAGTAGTAGAAAGCAATGAAGTGAAAGGGACTGAAGAGAAGGAGGTTGATTTGATAAGCGAAGATCAGCATAATAAGAGTGAGATCGCTGAAAATGAAGGCCAGAAAAGTGATGCTGAAAGTGAAGGCGAGAATAATAACAGTGATGCTGAAAATGAAGGCCAGAATAAGAAGAGCGAGGTCGCTGATAGTGATGGTGATGAGGATTCGGAAACCCAGAAGAAACATGCTGCGCAGAAAAAAAAGGAATGGATTAGAAAAAAGATCATAACGACAGCCGGAGAAGATAAAAGAACAGAAAGACGGACATTGAGGAAAAAAGAGAAAGAAAGAGAAGGAACGTCGTGCCAAGTGGATGATCTCCCAGTTTCGCGTTCAGATGATGACAAAGAGAGACATCGTGATGTGTCGGAGGACGAATGGTCTGACGATCCTGATGATGGCAATCACGAGCTTGACTTGGAGCCTGATATTGAGATGGCGAAAAAGTTAAAAGCAGAAGGGAACGAGGCGTTCAAGAATGAAGATTTTGTTAGCGCGATTCGACTGTATACAGCATCATTATTGAAGTGTCCGAATGATGGCTCTGATCAATTAATATCTGTGTTGTTATGCAACCGGTATGCAAAAATGAATTCTATTAAAATCCGATGAAAACTCGCTCAATGTTTCTTTTTCAGGGGTGCATGTCATTTAGCGCTGAAGAATTACGAAAGTGTTTTAGCAGATTGCAGCGATTCAATAGAATTTAATGATCAGTATGTAAAAGCGTATTTGCGCCGGTTTCGTGCTAATGAAGCGCTTGAAAAATGGCACGACGCATTAGCGGATATTAACAAAGCGATTGAACTCGATCCATCGTTGCAGTAAGATGACTCCAATAGATAGAAAAGGAATTTCTGAAACTTATGAAGGACATAATCATTCACTCTTAGAGTCACTTTTATATGAGAGTTTATTTCCTCAGATCTCCATATTACGGCGTCCAGAAGAAAGTTGAAAGATTATGTAAGTTTGCCTTGTTAATGGAGTTTAGTTGAATTTCTGAGGCTTGGTTTTTTCTACAGCACAAGAACAGTTTGAGAGAGAAAAGGCGGAACTGGTTGATAAGCTGAAGACGTTTGGCAACTGGGCTTTGGGGAAAGTCGGTCTCTCATTAGAAAACTTCAAGCTTGAGCAAAATTCAGAAACAGGAGCTTATAACATCCAGTTTATCCAAAATTCAAATCCCAATCCCTCATCCTAGTAATCTAGTATCCAGCTTTCCCTTTTTTGAAATCTTTTGTACCTGAACAATTCTTATGCCTGGAATGGCTCTTTTGAACCGAAGTCCATGTCTGGCACACCGGACTCTTTTCTCATCCCGCTGCTTTTCGATTTCAGCCCCAGAGCAGGAGAACGACATTCTGTTCGAAGAGAGTTCTACTAGCCAGAAATCGACCCACTCTGAAAACACCCGAAAGCTCGCTCGGTTCAAATTTCCGGGAGACGTTGTTACATTTGCGGCTAACAACTCTCTAACCCCAAAGGAATTAACGTTTGCTTTTAGATGTCTGGTTTCGACAGCAAAAGCGTTTTATGGTGGACGCAAATGGGATTCTTCATCCAGAACATGGAAATCTGGAACTAAGAAAATCACAACAGATCGAGGATTTGGAAGTCTATTAGTTAATCTTACACAACAGATCGACCACTTCAATCCTGCTGATCTGCTCGATTGTATTCATTCATTAAGTGTGTATTTTGCGCTATTGGATTTTCGATGAGTGTCGCTTTTTTAGATCTTTTAGGATTCAAAGATAAACAATTGATGGACATCGCAGAAGGATTCATCACAAAGGAACTCCCAAATTTATCTGCGAAAGCTTTACTTAAAGTAGGAATTCCCTCTCAAGCACTCTTCTCTGTCAATAACCCCTTTCATTGAAATTTAGGCCTTAATGGTTCTCAATGAGTTGCGAATAGCCGAAAAATCTTCTCTTACTGCTCCAGCAATTGAGTTTTTTCTCCAATCAAAAGACGACGTGGATCTTAATTCAATCTGCCGCCTTTCTGTTATTCTTTGTCGATGTTCCGCTTATCACGTTCGATTTCTAGAAGGTATTGAAAACAGTTGTCATTGTTTGTTCTTCATTGTTTGTTCTTCATTGTTTGTTCTTCATTGTTTGTTCTTCATTGTTTGTTCTTCATTGTTTGTTCTTCATTGTTTGTTCTTCATTGTTTGTTCTTCATTGTTTGTTCTTCATTGTTTGTTCTTCATTGTTTGTTCTTCATTGTTTGTTCTTCATTGTTTGTTCTTCATTGTTTGTTCTTCATCTTGTCTAACTACACTTTCATGCTTTCAGGCATTCTACCTGTTGTTCAAGACCGAATGGGTGCCTTGAACAGTTGTAAGCGTCTCTCTATTTCGTGTACTCATTCTCACAGTTCAGGTCTCTTCACTCATTTTCGCGTATTCGAAAATTCCAAGATTCATGAAAGGAGCGCTGATGAATCAACTTCTACAACACTGTTTGGGACTCACTGAAAAGGGCGTTGATAATTGGGACATTAAAGGCAAGTCTCTTTCTCTCTCAAACGCGCATTCCCACTACTTTCAGATGTTGTCCAAGTGATTCACGGTGCGGCTCGCTCGACCACTGCAGTAAGTGCTTGATATCTTCTCTTGGTAATAAATATCCTTTTAGCCAACCAGTCTTTTGAATGTTTTCGAGCGTAAGCAATAAGATGGCGCTCCATCTTCACAATCCTTTCAGCGTTTCTCCACAAGGCATTCCCCAAGCTCAAGGCAAAGGACATCGCAATAATTGCCCATAGCTATGGGTCAGTGAGATACGAAGTTCTGGCTTTGACGGTCTGGTTTCAGACATTGTGGTTGTGGATCAAAATCGTTATGGGAAGCCATATTTCAATTTCTTGAGGATTACAAAAGTCAGATGGATATTCGAAGCTTGATTGTCTGTTTAATCTCAACATCCAAATGTGCCAACAATGCAGTAAGAGTTGATCGACGATGCTGTGACGTTTCAGAAATCAGTTTTAGGATCCAAGGCTGGTCGCAGTTTTTGAGGAGTGTCAAAGTTGGTGCATCACGCGATCGTCTTCCTATTTTTGTCTTCATCACAGACCTTGTACTAGAGAATATATCGGAATTATCTCCCGGAGATGTCGCTCGTTTGGTAAATGAATGACGTTTTTTAAATATCATTCTCTTTATTGATCAGCTCAACGCCTATGGGACCATGCAAGTCGGAACAAGCGCGTTCTATGATCAATTGGCAACCGCTTCAGAAGAGTTCTACAGTCAATGGACGCCGGAACAGCTTTCTACTTCTCTCTTTATGCTTGGTAAATTAAACGTTTTTATTATGTCTATGATTCCTCTTATTCAGCGCAGGCGCGTCGCGGGCAGAATCTTTTTTCTGTGTCTCATGGGGAAGTTTTATCAAGACTCCTTCAATTCGAGTCTAAACGTTAGTTTAATTAGGAGCTAGACGCTTCTTACTTCAGAATTTGCAGAGCTCAGCCAAATCTGTTGGTCATTTTCTGTTATAGGAGTGTTTGAAAGAAGCTTATGGCAGGTGGGTTATCCCTCTCAAGATCAATCGTTGTTCTTCTTTTCTACAGGCATTGCTCGATGCAGTTGAAGGACAACAAGAGAACCTTCTTGAATCTTCTACAATTGGTTTGCTTTATCCATCACTTCTGAACCTAAAGAGAATCACAGTTGATGAGGCGGAAGGGAAACCAGAAAATACCGACAATCGTACTAGCGCACAATATAACCCATTGATTCCACATGAACGGATTGATCGCTTGCTTCAACTCTCTAGAGGTAAAGAACCTGAACACACGTTTCAATTACAATATTGATTTTCAGAATCCTTTCTTCAATTACAATGTAGTCATCACGATTCAGAGTCAGTCAACTCAATGCTCGGAATCAAATCCAGTGAGAGATCAGACGATCAAATCAATCTTATTCCATTTTAATGTGATGCAGCACTAGAGCGTTCGTTGCCACCAGCAACAAGCGTCATCCCGTTTTTCCTTCTTAAGGGGCTTCTGATCGATTTCTATATCCCTAGCATCAACGTAGCTGTTCTGATTCACTCATGGAGGGACACCAACAGGTAGTTCGATTACTCCATTCAACAGATTTACCTTTTTCTGGTAGAACTACTGCGTTACCCAATGGCCATGCGGTATTACAACATCAAATTTTACTTCATTACTATAACATCGGAATTGTCCATGTTAATGGCGCCACACTGAGTGATTCACTGGGGACGATTGATGCACGAATTGCACGAGCAAAAACCGTGAGTCCAAATTTGAACACTACAGAAGACAAATTCCAATATCAGGCAAAACATTATCGTCGGGAGCAGCACCGTGAAGTCAAAATGGCGATGCAACAAGAACAAGGAATCAAATCATGGCGAGTTCAACGATTGCTGCGAAAACAGGGTTCTAACACAACTGATGAAACAAATGGCTTCAATACATGGAGTGACGGTTCAGAGAAGGTGGAGGAGAAGGAGAGTAAGGGCTTCTGCAGAAAGACCGTGAAGATTTATTTTGTTTCAGTTGAGACCGACGGAGTTCTGCATGTGGGCAACGAATCCGTTTCTCAATCTGCGATTTATCATGTATTACAACCACGACAGCATAGACGCTCTATAAGCGATGAAGAGTGGATGAAAAATGGACCATTTGCACACAGATAGCCTACCGAAGCGTTGTTTTGTGTTGTACGACCATTTTTTTTACACCAGGCCATCTGTATGTCCCAAAGCGTCAGTTCTAAAGCTTTTTCTACCGTCGCCATATCATCGTTTTTTCAATCTCATAATGAGCGGACAGTACTGGCAAACATCGTCGCATGGTTCTCTCTCTGGGAAAGTTTCATCCATTAAATCGGTTCATCTCCGAGATTTACTAAAGGATGAAGCCCGAAACAATCAGCTGATTGTTGAAGCGGAAGGTGAACCAAAGGAAATTTTGAAACGTCTTTCTCACCAGTTTCTTTTCAGGAGTTTTGATGGATTTGTCTCGCCAAAAAGTGACACCCGAGGTCATGAAACTTCTATTCGAATTGGCACAAGAAAGAGATCTCTCTAAGAAAATCGGTGCAATGTTTTCGGGCGACCATCTGAATTCAACAGAAGATCGGGCTGTTCTTCATGTTGCTCTTCGATCCCATGCTAACGATGTTTTTGTTGATCAAGGGAAAGATGTCGTTAAGGAGGTGCACGAGGTTCTCAATCAGATCCAAAAGTTCAGTGACGCACTTCGTTCTGGTATGTAGACATCTTCCATCGGAATCAACTCGTTCTCTGCAGGACAATGGAAGGGTTTCACTGGAACGCCTCTTACTGATGTCGTTTGTATTGGAATTGGAGGAAGCTATCTTGGACCGGAGTTTGTTCTTGAAGCATTGCGCACCTACGGTCCTTGTAAAAAGGCTTGCGAGGGACGAAGATTGCGATTTTTGGCAAATGTTGACCCCATTGATGTTGCTCGTGCAACTGAAGGATTAAATCCTGAAACAACTTTGGTCGTTATTGTATCGAAGACTTTTACAACAGCAGAGACCATGCTGAATGCTCGCACATTACGCCATTGGTTGATGATGTCGCTTCAAGACGAAAAAGCTATCGGAAAGCACATGATTGCTGTGACCACGAACGTTGAAGCTGCCAAGCAGTTCGGGATTCTGCCTGAGAACTGCTTCGGTTTCTGGGATTGGGTTGTAAGTCGATACGAGAGAGTTGCCAGGCGCTATGAATTCGTTTTCAGGGAGGCCGTTTTTCGGTCTGCTCTGCTGTCGGTTGCGTTCCACTTGCACTTCACTTTGGTTTTGAGTATGTTCGCCAATTCCTTGATGGTATGGTTTCTGTCGCTGCTTTCCTCTTACGGTTTTCCTGTATAGGGTGCCGTGCAATGGACCTTCATTTCAAATCCACTCCAATGGAACGCAATCTTCCAGTTCTAATGGGCCTTATTGGTATCTGGAATTCAACGTATCTAGATTACTCGAACGTGGCCATCCTTCCTTATTGCCAGGTCAGTCTCTTTTGTGTCAAACCTTCAGTATTTCCCATTCTTCAGGCTCTCCTCCGTTTCGCTGCTCATATTCAACAATTAACAATGGAGAGCAATGGAAAGCGAGTCACAATCAATGGAGCGGCCCTTCCTCATCCAGCCGGAGAAATCTTCTTTGGAGAACCAGGAACCAACGGCCAGCACTCGTTCTATCAGCTCCTTCATCAAGGGCGCGTCGTGCCTGCGGATTTCATCGGATTTTGCCATTCGCAAAACGACATTCCCGTTCCAGTAAATCTCTTAATGATTTGAATCGTTTTTACTCTCTCTGTATCTCTCAGCTCGAGCGTCTCTCCAACCACGATGAGCTGATGGCAAATTTTTTTGCTCAGCCAAATGCGCTTGCTTTGGGAAAAACGGAAGCTGAAGTTAAAGCTTCAGGATGCCCGGAATCTCTCGTACAGCATAAAGTTTTCAGTGGAGACAGACCCTCAACATCGTAGGTTTGGAACACCTTCACTCTCGCGATGTTGTTCCATGGTTTCAGCTTGTTGCTCTCTGAGTGTAACCCACATTCAGTGGGGCTCCTTCTATCTCTGTATGAGCACCGCACAGCTGTTCAAGGATTCATTTGGGGCATTAATTCCTTCGATCAATGGGGGTGAGTGTGCGATTGGTGCAAAAAATGCACGATCTATCAAGGAGTCCTTCATTCTTATGCATCAATTAATTCTTGTTTTAGCGTTGAGCTCGGCAAAGTGTTGGCAAAGGACTTCTGTAACATTCTTGAATCGAACCGATCTGGCAAACCCTCACAACTAGAGACCGGCTTGCCAAGCTCGTCTCGAACGGTGTTGAAAAAGTACTTGACCTGCAAGAAATGATCTGCATTTCTTTTTTCTGTGGCTCCTACAAATTTTCATGAAACAAATGAGACATCAGTAAAATTAGCGTTTGTTTTCAACCACTCTCTTATGCCTATTATTGTACCAGATCGTCTCACCAACGCTGAGGTTACCAAAGGCTTGTATTCTGACCTTTTATATTTGAACATTTTAGAATGCTGTGCGTGGTTTTGTTCATGGGAGATTCCAAGAGCTCAAAAAATTAAAGGAAGCAACTCCAGGTGGTCCGATTTCTTCAACTCTTTCTCAGCTTGGTTTTCAGATGCTTTGCCGTTTGAAACATTTATCAACTTGAGTATCAATAATCCTCAAGCTTTCGGACAAAAGCCTTTAACTTTCAATCGCCAGGTACCAAGGCCCTTCGTTCTGCGGATCTAATTCCTGTGATGCAGGTTCTGAGTTGTCTCATCAACCCAGCACTTCTTTCAGTTCAACCCGCTCTCTATCCCAGGGATGTTCTAAAGCGAGCCCGACGGTATCTCGAGAGTTTCCCTTCCTTCGGGGCGTATTCAAACAGTAAAGGTCAGGTTTCCTCGGATGCAATATTATCCAGTCTGATTGTTTTCTAGGTGTTGAGATTTTCAGACAGGATATCGCGGAATGGTACCAACGAAGGGATGGAGTTTCTACTACGATCGATAATGTTTTCCTAACTGACGGTTCGTATTTCTGTTTTGTCAATTCGGTTCACTTCACTTCCTAGGAATCAGTGCTGCCATCCAGGTGGTTCTTGAACTCTTCGTCTCTTCTCCCCATGATGGTATTCTCATACCAGTTCCACACTATCCTCTCTATGCTGCCACCATTCATCGGTTGGGAGGGACAGTCGTCAGATATCCGCTCGATGTAAGTGAGAGCTTCAACCCGTCGTACTAATTATTTGCCGTAGGAATCTCTTGCATGGGAATTAAACTTGGAAGCTGTTCAAAAGTCCCTAACAGAGTTTCGCTCCCAGAACTCAGAGCATCAATGTCGTGCGATGGTTGTGATTGATCCAGGGAATCCATCCGGTACAATTCTCAGCCAGGAAAAGAAGGAAACTGTAAGTTCTTCCCTGATAAGAGTTCTTCTTCGACACTCTTGCTTCTCTCTAGATCATACAATTTTCGAGAACAGAAGGACTCGTGTTGATTGTTGATGAAGCCTATCAAGATAATATTTATGTGGATGGGTTTCGCTTTCACTCTTTCCGCCAAGTAGGACTTGAGTCTCTTGATATAATATGATTCTTCGATGCCAGGCAGCCAACTCTCTTACATCGCCTCTTGAAATGTTCACATTGAATTCGTCGTCTAAAGGGTTGAATGGCGAGTGTGGGTCGCGTGGCGGTCTGATCATCGCAGACAACGTGGATCCTAAGGTAAGACTTCAGCTCCGTGTTGATGTCATCAGTGATGCAGGTGATTGAAATCATGACGAAGCTTCTTTCGGTGTCGCTATGCGCAAACACGTTGGGACAAGCAATGATTGGAATTGCTCTGTCGCCCCCTCTGCCTGGGGACGAATCCTTCCCTGAGTATCATAAAGAACGGTGAGAGAGTTCTGAATCTGGATCACAGTGATTGATTCTTTTGTTTAGAATGGAAACCCTTCAGGGATTTAAACGAAAGGCTGAACTGGTTTATAGCCGTTTCGGAAACATGCAGGGGATTGTTTGCCAACCCATTAGGGCAGGAATGGTCGCTTATCCTTCAATTGACTTGCCCCGACAATTTATGAATGAAGCGAAGTGAGACCCTTTTAGTTGTGCACCATGCGCCACGGTCGCTATTAGATCTCAGAATATAGAGCCGGACGCGCTCTTTTGCATTCGACTGCTTGAAGCAACAGGTAATTGGGGTGACTCTTATATGAACGCCATGGGAATGAAATGCAAGCATGATTCTTTTCTTTAGGTGTTTTGACGATTCCGGGATCAGGATTCGGACAAGAAACAGAGACGTACCATTTTCGAATGACGCTACTTCAACCAGAAAAACTTCTTTCTCAAGCTCTAGATCGTATTGAGAAGTTTAATGAAGCACTACGAGTCCAGTATCAATGAAAACCAATTAACAAATCTGTTTTGATTCCTTCGACTTGTTAAAATGTCAATTTTTATGCAATGAGGAGATCTTCAACGATTCCAACTGAATGTTTCTCATCGACTCTTGCTTTCACTGTTTCTTAAGGGGAAGGCTCAGCACTGAAGATTTCCTGTATGTCTTTGGGTACGTGGATTAGCATCGGGAGTTGGTAATTGCATCTTATTCAGGAGATTGTTTGTGGAGTATGAAGTGTTTGACTTTGAGAGCCTGATTATGATCTTTTGCTTCGGGTTAATTTTTTTCCGTGCTTATTTTCGTCGATGTCTCCGCACTTAACCCTACCACTGCACTTCTGGACGACTCTGTGATCTTCATGTAAGTTTCGCATGCCTAGAAACTCTATGGCCGCTGTTCTGTTGTCTCGACGGTACCTGTCTTCCTCTGTTTTAAGACTTTCGGACTCGATTTCGAATTTAATCACTAAGACAACGATGGGCAAAGAATTTCTGGCAAATGGCTCAGCGAGTGGCTCGCTTTCAGTTGCGAACCCATTGTCTGCGGTGGGGCACCTCAACACTCCAACCCGCTTGCTTGTTGGGCCAGGGTGTGTATATCAATCATTCCAGCTGGTTTAATCGGTTGTCTTTCTAGACCTGGTAACGCACACCCACGAGTCCATGCTGCGATGTCCTTGCCTCAAGTATGGAGCTGAGACGGGAAAGTTTGCATCATTTATGTTCAGGTTGGCCACATGGACCCCGAGTTTCTTCTGATCTGTGAGGATGTCAAGCAATTGCTCCGATACGTGTGGCAGACGAACAACGCGTTCACAATTCCAGTTTCTGGTTAGAAGGCGAAGTTCGTTGGAAGGCATACTAAGCTGCTTTTGTAGGAACTGGAAGCGCAGCATGGGAAGCAGCCGTTGCGAACTTAACTGCACCGAATGACGGTAAGCTAACAATGATCAAAAAATCAGGCATCTGAATTTCAGTCCATTTGGTGTTTGTTAATGGATACTTTGGGGAGCGTCATTGTGATATGGCGAGCCGATACCAAGCCAAAATTATGTAGGGGTTCCTTTAACGTGTTCGGATTGCCATTCTGGTGTCCCGCAGCCGAGTTGACAAACCTTGGGGCAAAGTGTTCACGAAGGACGAAATTATTGAGGCGATCAACAAACACCAACCAGATACTGTTTGGATTTGCTACGCTGAAACATCAACTGGAACGCGACAGCCATTAGAAGGAATTGGTGCAGCATGTCGTGCCCTGGACAAAGAATGTTTGCTTCTGGTGGATACTGTGACCGCAATCGGTGGAGTTGAATGCAAGGTGGACGAGTGGCTATTCGACGCATGCTACGCTGGTAAATGATAAGAGATCCCGCTTCCGGCATTGCCGTTCTTCTAGGAACCCAAAAGTGTCTCAGTTGTCCCCCCGGAGTTGCTCCACTGACTCTTGGCCGTCGAGCTCTGGCACGAATGGAGCGTCGGGCTCAGAAGGGGCAGAAAGTCCCAAACTGGTACGGCGAGCTAAAGCCCTAATTCTGAAGAACTTTACTTCCTCCACTACAAGGTACCTTGACATGAACATGATCGCAAAGTACCTTTTCGGAGAGGACAAAGCTCCACGCGTCTATCACCATACAGCTCCGATTTCGATGATTTATGCGCTGAGAGAAGCGCTGACGTTGATTGCAGAAGAAGGCTTAGAAAAGGTCTGGGAGAGACACACGGTAAGCCCATGAATGTTCATCTGTTGCTCAAGAACGAATTACAGAACACAGCGGAGTATTTTTGGAAATTGGTGGAAGATTTGGGTCTTGAAATGTTAGTTACAAATAAGAATGAGAGACTTCCGTCACTTCATACAATCCGAATTCCTCCAAACGTCGACGGCGGCGCTGTTATCAAATATTGCCGTGAGAAGTTTCGTATTGAGGTTGGAAGCGGGCTCGGCGAATTGAGCGGCAAGGTGAGACGCTTCTAAGGAAACAGAGTTACTTTCGTCTCATCAGGTTTTTCGTGTGGGATTGATGGGATACAATAGTCGACCAGAAGTCGCTTTACAAGTAGAGATTCATTCAGTTTAATTGCGATTTTGTTCATCTTGTTGCAGGTTGTTGCCGCATTGAAGGAAGCTATGGAAGTTCAAGGATGGAAGAAATTGAACTAGAAGAATCTCATGTAACAGTTTTTTTTCAGTGTAGAACCATCGATCATCATGTGGGCTTGAAAAAAAACAAAAAGTGATAAAAACAAAAAGACAACTAGTTCAGACGAACAAACACTAAAGTACTTCAATATGCAAAACGTGAGAAAAGGACGAGAAATTGTCATTCAGACTTGAGCACAATCGGCGCGTCGTCAAAAGCACGGACTTCACAAAATGCGTCTAGCTATCTATATACATAGATACTCTATGTATCGCAAAGTCATTCTACTCTATTATTATATTTTCATTTCCTACTGTTCTATTATTATATTTAATAATCATTTTCTTACTAGTATGGATGTAGATGTAAAATTAGAAGTTAAACAAAATCGGTAGTGACTCTCTTCATCTCACTTCCCATCGTTAATCCCGAGAAAGGATAACCGCCAACTTCGTCCCAAGTATCTTGTAGTAATAACTGGAGCTCAACTGCAATCTGAATGAATTTGTGATAATTCGAGTATTCGTGATTAATCCGAGTATTCGTGATAATTCGAGTATTTGTGATAATTTAATTATTCGAGACTCACAGCTGAAATCGATACCCCGCTGAATTTAATAATGAATCCGTCAAGGAGTGTTTTATTGTCTGCCCGCCGAAACAAGAAAACAGTATAATGAAGAAGTATTTTCGACTTGCTTGTAATAGGATTTCTCAAATAACGCTTCATTCGAGCTCCAGAAACGATCACTGGTTGCATCCAATGACGATGCGTCCTTCCTGTTGTTTCGGTTCTCAGTGGCTGTTCTCGCCAATGAGGACATCGATGAAAAGAATCTCGACGAGTCGATTGAAATTTTTCTTCCAATCGAGAGATTAATTGGGAAAATTTTGGACCAATCAGAAGGCATACGCCGATGCAATTATATGGGGACATTTGATCCCTCAAACTTAGAGATCCTTGGTATCGATTTTCGCCCCTAGAGAGCTGCATGCTTTCGCGGCATATCAAGCTCGATAAAGCTTGTGCAGTGTTTAATCTGGTATTTGTATTCGACGGTACGAATGGCTCTTCCTTCGTTGCACATGGAAATGAGATTCTTTCCGAGTCTTCTCGAAAACATTTCTTCATCTCTTGGATTTCCACGCGTATCTCATTCATCGAGTCATATAGATTCAAATCCCAACACTCCTTCCTGCCTAAACGACCCGCACCGAGCCAATCGATCAAAAGCACAGAGCCAATTTCAGTCTCTAAGAGAGAAGCGATTGTGGACGAGCCTGAATTTCTGTTCTCGTCGTTATTGGGATTCCAGAGCAGAGTTATCGATTGTTGATGCCTGTAATCAAAATTCCCATAAAAGCTCTTCAGACACCACGTACTGGTGCACCGCGTCACGCAAGCAAATAGACGGTTGAGGAGTTACAAGCAGGAGGGCGTTTGGGTGAACGGAGTGATGAAATGTTTGAGAGGAGGCTTCTGAAATGTTCTCTTCATGATCGTGCTGTTGAATGACAGTGTCCGTTAATTTGCGAATGAGCAATTATTGAGCCTACGTGTTTGACGGAAGGACTTCTGAAATTTGGGCTCTCAGGTCGAGCAAAAATCAAATTGTACCCTTGAGTAGTAACCAATCCTGTTGCCCCTGAGAGACACTAGGACATCACTGTTTTGACCAACAGAGGGAGAAGCACCAAACCTCAATCTGGATGGTTATCTGATCCCCACATACTATTCCACCCCCATAGTTGATGATGTATAACCATGTTGCAGGACGCCTTGTTTTTTGTCCATTATGGCCCGCAAAATTCGAACAGATCAGCTTGATGGGATAGTGGCAATAGAGTGACTGAATCGACGTGGAGGGCCATTTCTCTCTCGTAATTTTTCGTGAATTCACACCAAACACTGCATAAGCCGAAGGAAGATTCGTGTCCATTGGAGTGTGCGCTTTTGTTCTTCATGAAGAGTTCTTAAAAAGGTTCAAAACCAATAAGAAACGCACAGACTGCATGAATCTGTTCAGAGTTAAGGACAGAAGGACCGCGCATCATCAAGATGGAATCCAGTGGAGACCCCCTCGCTACGAAACCCAAGACCCCTCTGTGGCCTCGCCCATCTCCAAAAAACGTTTCTTCTCTTCCCGATGCGACGCAAGAGGCCACAAATGAAGAGGCTCCTAGCCCAATAGCAAAGGAGCATCTAGTTCTAGACGCTGGCGCCTTTATTCGCTTGAAGCAGCTTCATCTTTTTGGGTTCGAGACTCTTCATGTAACGCCGGGTGTCGCTGCCGAAATTCGCGATCGCGCCGCTCGTCAGAATCTCAATTTGATGGTGACTGTCCCAAAAATTTCAACTCCAACAGAAGAAGATCTTGCGTTTGTTACGCGTTTTTCGCAGCAAACGGGGGATCTAGGATTTCTGTCTCGTACTGATTTGGAATTAATAGCATTAACGTACATGTTGCAGCGAATGACGGGCGACGTTGCGAGTCTGAAATCGAAGCCAGAAAGTACCTTGCAAATAGCGAGAAATTGTGTTGTTGAGCCTCCGATGAATTCGTGGGGATTAGGGAAGGATAAAAACGACGAGGGTGAACACACCGATGATGATGACGAAGGTGATGAAGATGATGATGATGATGGTGAATGGATTTGTGAGGACAATTTTGATGAGTAGGGTTTTGGATTATGCTGCCATGCTCTCATTCAATCCACTCAGGTTCTGTATGAAGCAACGTCATGGAGTAGTTCCATGTGACGATGAAGATTCTACAGAACGTCCATTGCGTGTTGCTTGCTTATCGACGGATTATTCTGTTCAAAATGTTTTGATTCAAATGGGATTGTCGGTTTTATCCATCGATGGATTAAGAATTAGAAGTGCAAAGAAATGGGCTTTGATCTGCAGGTAAATCTCATCAATTATCTCTCACTACCGATTTGTTTTTTTAGGGCCTGCAGTCGAGTGATTCGTGATACAACCAAGCTGTTCTGTAGTCATTGTGGAAATTCTGGTCTTCGGCGGGTCGCCTTGACAGTCAGAGATGATGGTACAGAAATAGTCGAAGAGCCACTCAACCGACGAATCAACTTGAGAGGTCGTGTATATCCAATTCCCAAACCAAAAGGAGGAAGAAAAGTGAGTGTTGATTGTTTTCATAAGAGATAGAAAATTGTTACAAGAAAATGCTTTTGTCTTATTAGGGGGATTTGATCCTTTGTGAGGATCAGATGCTTATTGGTGGTAGAGATAGATTATTGAGGCAGCAACAAAAGGCATGGGACAAAGAACTCGCCGCAAGAGACCCATTTAATCCAGACAACCTCTATGAACAAAAGGGCTGGCAACACCGTACTCTCGAAGGCGTTCGAAAGGGTCCGAGAGTACGGTTGATTTCGTTGTATGACCCTTTCAATTCCATTGTGTCTGTTAGATTGGTTTGGGGCCAGGGAATCCGAATTCGAAACGTTGGCACTTGAAGCACAATGGACGTAAATGAATGAAAGCTCATTCGGCGTCCCCTCGTGAAAGTTATCTCCAATGCTCTTGTTCGACTTTACCTTGCCAAAATTACTATACTTCATTTAAATGGATCCGTCGTTGAACTGGGTTGGAGGGGTTTTGGGGTGTTTGGTAACTGGGGTGGTTGCCGCTGTTGGTGGGACGTAGCCTGCCATCATCGATTGAGCTTGAGGCGTGTAGATTTGAGGTGATGATTGAGAACGTTGGCGCTGCTGTTGCTGTTGCATCTGAACAAATTGCTGGTGGGGAGCGGTTCTCAATAGCTGGGCCTGTTGCAAAAATTGTTGCGCAGGCCATCGAGACACGCTGGCTGTTGCTGCTGCCATTTGAACTTGTTGATGGAACTGCTGGCTTGTCGTTCCACCTTGTTGGGTCATCTGCATCTGTCGTTGCCATTGCTCAGGCTGGAGGACTGGCCGGTAAGCAGGTTGGGGAGTGCGTGGCACATCGGCGTCCTGAGGCTGCTGCCACATTGCTCGGTGTGCAGTTGGTGTTTGAGTCAGATATCCTATTGGAGTGGTCCTTCCATCCGAGTGCTGGAGGGGATATGGAGTAACGATACCGGATTGAAGAGGACGCAACGGTGGAGGTCGTTGATCTGAGAAGGGAATGCGTTGAAGCATCTGGCCTTGTTGTGGTGCAGCTTGAAAGCGTTGGTTGGGGACACGATAGGCTTGATGTGGAGGATCGATGAAAGATCGCAACGCTGAATGTTGAAATCCAGCAGATTGTTGCGTTTCATATCCACCAACAACAGTGTGATACCCCGTTCCCTCAAAACCTGTTCGACTCGCTGTGAAAAAAAACAAACATAACCTGTAGGTCATATCTTCTGCCAACTTACCGCTCGTTGAAGAAGCAAGGGAAGTTTGTTGACTAGAACCGTTTTGTTGTGTTCCAGGCGAAGGCGGCTGACCACCACTGGATGAAGCCGGTGGTTGAGCAGTAGAGCGCGCTGATTCAGCTAGAGAGTTGTAATTTGGAAGCTGCTGCTGACCAGTGAGAAGTTGCTGCTGCTGCTGCTGCCAAAGATGGGGCGTTGATGACGTTGGAGTTGTCGCTGGGGTCCCTTTGGGTCTTGGGCGTTGCTGGGCTTGCTGTGGGAAGCTTCCTCCCACGTAAACTTGAGATCCCTGAAGCGCTCCTTGCATTCCAGCAACAGAACTCCAATCTAAATCCCGCATTCTTCCAAAGTCAAGAGGAGTTCCAAGAGAACGAGACGCTGAAGTTGCGATCAAGGGAACCTGCTGAGAGGGTTGGGGACTTCGATAAGGCGGTCCCTTGGGCTGAACTAGAGATGGTTGTGGAGGCGCACGCTGTGCATTCGGGCGAACCACTAGACGCTGAAGAGGCCCCATCGTCTGAGAGCCTAGAAGAAGAAAGAGCAGGTTGAGAAAGAAGGTTGAGCAAGGACCTACCAGACTGCATCTGTGGCATGATCTTCATCCCACGCTGTCCAGAATCAATCTGCATCGGAATGACCTGCTGGCCTGTCATTGGCTTGAGTGGAGCTCTTGGGACACCTTGGGGTTGGGTGTATCTTGGTTGGCGCTGCTGTAATGATGGGTGATATGTCGCAAGCGCGCCTTGGTCTTGCATCCATGCCGGTCCTGCTCTGACTTGTGGGCTGTACCCTGAAGATGGAACGAATGACTCTGCTATTTGTGAGGATGGAATGTGTTTCCGTGCTTCACTGGCTTCTGAATCCCCTGAAATAGAGAGTGAAGGAGCAAAGAGAAAATTCAAAAAAAAACTTACGGGCGTCGGTAACTTTCTAGGAAATGTAAAGGAGTCAATGAGTGCCGTCAGATTCGGGTTCTTCCATAAGAAATCCCAGCTGTTGTTCGTGTCCCATAACTGGATCTGCTCTGCTATGAAATGTGAAAGCACTCTGGGTGGCTGGACGTGCGCGGGCAATCCCTCAAGTAGAATCGATGCTTGGTATTGCGATGAGAATAAGTACTTCAGACATTCAAGGGTCTCATCAGCTCTATAGACCTGAGAAGGGAGCACGCTGAATTGATATTGAAACTATCAGATTTCCTACCAAACCAGCGACTGGCGCTCCAGCCGACTTGAGGACGCTCTCAAGATTCCCAGATGTCGTTTGGATGACTTTAGGAGAGAGAAGTCTGCAATGAGAAACGCCTGAAAGGGCGAGGTCCTTCAAATACCCTCTAAACTGCTGCCGAGCTAGACGGGAGGCCTGCTCTGACAAAGCAGATACGTCTCCATCAAGCTCTGGCGATTCGGACCCGAGGGGGCCTCTGCTGAAAAGAATAGCAGTAGCGCGGTAGTGGAGGTCTCGCAAGGCAGAGCTGGAAGAAGTCGTGGAAAAAGGAACCTGGATGCTCGCGGTAGAGATCTGAAACAACAACGCTGAGAGACATTTGATAGTAGCGCTTCCTACTTCTGATGCCGCTGATAGAATTTCAATTTGGCTTGCGTGGAGAGGAAGCAAATCCCTCGAGAGATTAACGTCATTGACCCGAAGTAACTCGCTAATATTTGGAGCCGAGGGAGAAATGGCGGACTGCTGAGATCCAGCTGGGACGAATAAATTGTTGACGTGTTGGATCAAATTTTGATCATTTACGAATATTGATTGTGCCCTGAAGAAGCATAATGAAAGAAGGGAATGCAGGCAAGCATAATGAAAGAAGGGAATGCAGGCAAGCAAATTACCGGTTGTTGGCTTCAGCTCTTCGTCGCATAGTTTGCCCGTAATTTTCTAGTAATGAGATCAGCCGACGAAGTTCTAATAACGCCAAATGATCTGCAGCAACCGTTTCGACTGCAGCTAGAAACAACTCCTCCTTCCAATGAGTCGCCAGAATTGAGGCTCTCTTTCGGTCCCGAGACGAAGGTCGTGAAGTTCCAGCTACCAGCGATAGGGCTGTCGCTTTGATTGAAGGAATTTGCTTCAGTTTCATTTCATATAGTTCCGTGACGTCCATAGGATCCCGCGAATTTGAACTCCCCGATTGTTTCCGAGGTTTCGTGAGCAGGGCACTGACACCTGACACATCGTCCGTGTCTGGCATTCCACTACTGAGCCTGCCCTCCCACAGCAGATCATCGGTTGATGGCAGCGCTAACCCGAGCTGCACGCTGAGATTTCCAGGACGACCAACGACACCATTCCAGAACCCAGAAGTTCCAACCCAGTTGTAGTCAGGGCAAATCGTGGAAGCTGGTAGAGTGGAAGCAAGAGTTTGGGATGCGAAGGTTGTCCAGAGATTGATTGCCACTAGAGTTGGAGCCTTTGACGGCAAGTCTGTCTCTTTCGCAGCTACACAGATTGAAGAATTTCCTTCCGTGATGATCCAAGGAAGGCGTGATTCAGGAGATGGGAGACGTAACGCTTCGAAGATGGAAACATCTTCAGAAACAGAAGAAGAGAAAGGAGACAATGACAGATTGGAAAGGGTAACTGAAGGAATCACTGCATGTCCCAATGACGAATCAATTGATTGTTGCGAAGATTGAGGATCCACGTCGGCCATTGCTGTCGATGGATCATCACTAGATCCAGAAAATAGTGTTTCAATGAAAACAGAAGGGAATAGAACGGGGCGATCAGGAGGCTCAACGAGCGATGATAGAAAAATACAATTTGGATTGACTGCAGGAGTTGAGAAATGAGAGGAGCTGATCTTGGGAGAGCTTATACTGCTTTGAGTACGGTGGTGTCCCAAATCACGAGCTGAATCCGAACGGCAACCCGATAACTTTCTCATCCATTCCACTCCGTAGCGACACTTCCGTTCCGACTCAGCGACGTACTTCGCAGTCATGTCCGTTCCATTAGTACCCCAATCAAACGCAATGTCGTCGCATTGTGGACGGTCTTCATCACGTTTCGGACCCGTTGACGGGGTACGACGGCGCCTTTTCCCGCACAGTGGGGCCGCAGTATCGAGAGTCTCTTCATGATGTTTCTGAGACGAGAAGACACCTTCAAAAAACTCGAAACTACGAGGCGGGCAGTTCGTGCGAAAGGGAAGGAGTGTCTGCTTTTGACGACAAGGAGGTGAATGAGTCAATACGGCGGGCGGTTTTTTATTTCCGACGAGAGACGCTGAATTGACAGACGGAGTGTAAAATCCGTTACGAGAAGATGAATCGAAACATTGCCATGGAATTCGATGAAGTGGAGCGACAGATTCAGTAAAATCAGACCCAAACACTGAAAAGGGAGAAGAAAGCTTCTGAAGTCCATCGATTTCACTCCTTGAATCGCTGCATTGAACTTCGGCGAAGGAACCAACTGGAGAGACTAGTGACGCGAGGGAGCAAGGCGGCGCTCCAACAGCAACAGATGTCCTTGGCGGGGGTGGAAAATTAGGTAACAGGATGATATTTGTAGTAGCAAGAAGCGAAGATCCAACTTCAAGCTAAAGAGGAACAGAGCTGTTGAGATGTTTGACTCAAATAAGCGCACCTGATCTGAGCGTTCGTTTTTCTCTAATGAAAAAGTTTGCCCGTTTAAATCAATTGGAAGGAAAGTAGAAGACTTTTCTTGCAATTGTCTCTCGAGTGAGCTAGTGCTCAATAAAATCCAGCGACGCTTACACATCAACGGAGTGCGATGACGATTCAATGGAGCTGCAGCGAAAAATGCATCAAGATTAAAGAGAAATCCAAGCTTACGAAACATTTGGTTCAATGCGGCCGCAATTAGAGACCAGTTACAGGTGTACTGACTCCTCATCACCAACGCTCTATCAGTAGGGGATGGAGGATTCAACCAAACATTCGCTTTGGAAGACCGAAACCGATACAACTGAGAAAAAGTAACAACAGAAGCATCAGGAAGAGCAAGAAATGGGAGCTATTCAAATTGTTGTACCTGCACCAATAAATCAAGGGCAAGATCCTCGACATCTTCCCATATATGGAGTCCACGTGAAGCTGTAGGAATTCCCATTCGTGGTTGAACTTTCAATCCAACCCGTTTATCAACTTCACTTGTCCCTAAGAGTAGCGATGAGGAACAGATCACAATAACGCACACTCACCAAAAGTGATTTGTGTGACTGGGACGAAAAGGGAAATTCTGGGGTCGAAGAACGATGGGGAAAGCGAACTTGTAGTAGACGCTAACTGCTGTTGCGTCGTCAAACCGAACGGCAAGTCTCCTAAACTCTGTTTTTCACTGTCTTGGCGAGAAGTACGTCTATTATAAGCTGATTGTGGTAGAGGTGTGGTGGATTTTCCGTTAAGTGGAACTCCAGATGACGCTCCCTCCATCTGCAACGAATCGCGAACCTAAGATTGTGAAAAGCACGTTCACCGATTGACTATAAAACGAGAAGCTAAACTGCCGCACCTTTGCCCTTAATTTTCTTCTGGATAAGTTTCCTAGAGGAGTGGGAATGCTATTGATCAGCTGAGCTAGTGCTGTTGCCCTGGGGTCCATGGTCTCCAATTCTGAGTTAAACTGTTGGAGCACTTCCCCTCTGATTTCACGATTAGTTGGTTCTCGTGCAGTTGTTAATCCAGCTCTGATATCTCTCTGCCGAATCACAACAGCAGCCATTCGTCGACGTTTCAATCCTTTATAAGAAGCAATCAAATCGGATCGTCGATGAACAAAACTAGCGACCATCGATAAATCGCTCGTTGACACAAAATCAGAATGAGACTCTGAAACACAAACACATCTGGATAGAACGACTGAACTGACTCACCCTCGATTGGGATTAAAGCTTCGTCGCGAACTGGATGAGGAACTCGAAAGACAATTGGATGTACTGCAGTGTGATGTTGTTGAGCCACAGTGACAGCCTTGCGTATTATCTCTTCTCTCCTCTCAGCTCGCATGCGATCATCTAAACCTAAAGAAGAGTCCATCATCAATTCTACTATCAATTCTACTATCGATTGCACCTACATTTTCCATCCACATCAACAGCATCTGATGGGATTTCCAATATAAGAGGTTCAGCAGTATTCATTGTTGGCCAACCAATCGAATCCATGTATTCGTGTGCTAAATCTTTGACGGATCCTAATTCATTGGAATACGTGTGAAAAGAACAATGTCGTGATTGATGACGTCCTATTTGAGCTTCCATCAATTGAAGATGAATGTTTGATAATCCCATAAAATTGTTGTGTTGAAATGGATTAACATAGTAGTGCTGTTGAAGAGCGAGCGAATCAAACCCCTTTGCTTGATCTGAATTCTCAGAAATTTCATTCCCTAGAATTTCTAAACTTCTTGATTGGGCGTATTCACCGAATCCTGCGAGTGGCATTCCCAATTGCATCTCAAACGCTGGAATATCCCAAGGTGCCCTCGATACAGCATCTTCATCCTGATCTGCTGCACTGGCTTCATCTTCGGAATTACCAGAAGGCGATAGAATTTTTCTTCTCTTCACTGCGCGTAATTCTTCCAACTCATCGAATGACTTCGCAAAGTCAACTAAAAGGAAAAACGGATGGAACTCCACACTCGTATTCAAGAATCCAAACTTGTGAATGGATGTTACAATTTTCCTTACCTTTCTGATTTTCGCAAATCATCTCCATCATTGAAATGCTGTATGACATTAAATTCA